TGGAACGAATAGGAGAACAGAGGACTCTATGGAAGTCAATAAAAAATAGGCGAGATAGGTTGGTAGGACACCTTCTCAGGCATGAAGGTCTAGTCAGAGACATGTTAGAGGCAGAAACGGGAGTTAGGAGGGGTAGAGGTAGACTTAAATTAGATTACGGTTCGCAAATAGTTAAGGATATGGGATGTTCTACTTTAAGGAAAATGCGAAGATTAGCTCAGGATAGGAATGAGTGGAGGTACGTGTCCAACCAGTCTAAGAACTGACGACCTTATGATGAAAGGCCAACTCCTACTGTGAATCGAATGTTTATATTTTCGGCTTACCTAGGAACAGTGGAAATTTGCATAACACCCATACCAATAAAGACCATCGTGGCGCACGTAATGTAGAAAGGAAAGTCGGTATCTGGCTGTTCTCGATATTCTTCTTCCTGTTGCCTTTTCCGAAACCAAAGAAACAGGGGATGCAAATCATCGTTACTACACCATTTTCTGTGAAAAATGAAATACATAAAACTGCTATTGACTCCTTTCAAATGTGGTACAAATGTTTCAATAGTATATTAAAAAGTTGATTACTGCCATAGTTTCATTGTTTTGTAGCACAACAAATGCGGAAGTCGACCCATTTAAATGCAAATGTATTTGTTTAATGCATGATGTGCTGAAAACTGCATCACATTACAGCAACAGCAATTTAAATAACATGTCAAAAAATACAATAATATTCTTTACTTGTTCGACATTACTTTTTTAATAACTATGTATATTTACAGATCCGTTTTCAGATACCCTAGATAAAAAAATTTCAGTCTCTCTCCAGTCTCTCTGAGAGCGTCTCTCACAGTCCTTCACAGTCTCTCAGTTATTGCCTAGATGTTTTTATAGATCTCTCACAGTTTTTGTATGAGAGACTCGAACGATAAAATTGTTAATTTAGAGATTCGAGTCTCTCATTCAGAGATTCTAGTCTCTCGTTCACAGACGCTAAACAGTTTTTTTGACAGTCTCTCGACAGTCTCTGAGACTGAACACTTTTATCTCGGGTACACGGTATACTGATGTATTAATACTCAACTTTCGTCATTAATTTTATGTTTTATTCAGTTATATCCTTCAAGAAATTTTGTTAGCCTGTAACTAATGGCATAAATATTGGCTATTTTATTTTTAACCTTCAATGAACTATATTAGGTTAGTTCTGAAGTTCACGCGGTGTTAGGTATAGACTATAGGGCGGATGTTCGAAAACGTGCAGCTTGAAGTGTTTGAGAAAACCTGCTGCCATTTTGGTACAAAACGGTTGTGGAAACGCGAAGGAAAACCGACCTTCCAAGATGCTGTGGTGTCCAGTCGATCAGATAGCAACTTGAGATGCACTGTGTACCCGAAGTCTACCTACACCAACAGATATCTCAATGCATCTTATCTCTAATGGGCACCGGAGGCGAGATGTGAATAGCACAATATAGAAATATTGAAAACCTCGCAGACGGGCCTAAGAAGAGCACATCTGCCATTCACCAAAGGAATCAGTGACAAAATCGGCCGAATTCTGTAGAAGGAAGGCGTGAAGACAATATTCAACATTTGTGGTAAACTTAGAGACCAGTTTGTCGGAGTGAAGGATGTTGTTCCGTTGGAATCTGAGGGAGTCTGCCAGATACATGGTTCTGTGGAAAGGTCTACAGCGGGGAAACAGGTAGATCCTTCGCAATAAGGATAAAGGAATACGAGAGATCCGTTCGACTGAAACAGTATAGCAAATCAATGTTGGCAGAACATATTCGGGACACAGGACACGACATCCAATTCAACCAGACAGAGATGCTAGCTAGAGAGAGACACTACTTCCCCATGGTCATCAAGGAAGCACCTAGGATCTAAGAACATTCGAACAAACTCAACAGGGAATGTGGGTACTGTAACACAGTTTGGGAACCTAACCCTGGAAAATGGGTATTGAAATACTGTATGACTGGGAACTGTAGGAAGGGACTGTATAACTACTATTTAAGCTGTTGCGAGAAGGTTCAGAGTGCTCGAGTGGCATGACCTAGAAGTTTGGGCTATTGCTTGGCATTCGGGAAGATGCCGGTTCGATTCCGGGTCTGTCTGCCTTGGTCGAAGTTTTTCTGTGGTTATCTTGGATAGTTTAAGCAAATGCTGGGGCAGTAATATTCCACAGGAAATCTGTCATTCTCTTCTGGCTTCATTTCGCCGGTCTCATCTTTCTTACCCGAACCACCATTTTCACGATTCCTGAAAAGAGGCTAAAGAGGGTCTTCCGACCTACCTTCCCTAATGAGATTTAAGATTCAGAGTGAATTTAGCAACAGCTTTGGAGTTACTAAGAATAACCGTTGTAGTGGGAGACGAAACGACTTTTGACGTTACCATGATTCGTCATGGGGACTACATCAATAAGACAGAGTTTTAGGATCCTGAAATCCTGTTTCTTCAGGCGACAGCCCTGACACTTCTGCATAATCTATAAGCATTAAAGTACATACGATACTTCCCTGGTTCTCTCTCCGACTTCCTTTTAAGTACACATTCATATGAAAAGGTACAGATGCTTAGCCATAAACTTGATATTGCCCTACCCGTCTATGTCACGTATACCAACGCTTTTTTTGAGGGATATTTATGACGTTTTTCTATTGCTGTTGTTTACTAAGGTACGTGCTTTTAAGGAATTCGGCGAGCTTTTCGAATAAGAAGAGCTTTCCGAATAAAAACGTTTATTACGCCGATAATTCGTAAGGCTGTTCCGATCCAGAAATAACTATTTAGAAGAGCAGTCATAGTGGAACTAATCTTTAATGTGGCAGATGCTTTCCAAAGATCCAAAATTACAACATGTTAGAATAAAGTTTAATGAAGTTCTGCTCGATGCCGTTCCTTGATGATACGCTGTCAATAGTTTGTTACGAATTTTTGTTTCCAAACAACGACGATATACTGTTGTCAATCAAAACATTCTAACAATTAATTAACTAACATTATAAACTGTTGAAGCTGACTTAGAAACCTAGGTACATACTTGTAAAATGTCTAGTAAACTAATTATCAGAACATCGAGCTTTCACTGACGTAATGTTGTCGTTGGCAAAATACACTTACAGGTTCCTTTGTTTCAGTTACTACAGTATACATTGTTGGAGAAGGCACGACACATAAATAATTAATCAGTTAATTTCGCGAATAAATAGACAGTACCAATTACAAACACCGGATATGTTTGTTTACCTTGTTTTGCACTTGTGTACAGTAGAGATTCAATAATATTGGGAATACGTAAGTAAATAGTAAATATGCGTTTATGCAAATAATTGACACTTCTTCGTGTTTCATTTCGCGGTGAAATGATTGATGTAGAATCCGAGAACACGTGCATTTTTAGGCATTTAACTCGGTTTTCCGGTATCCGGAAACATCATTAACTGGTGCATCTTTAATAAGATGTAATAGTCTAAAAGGAATCAGATACTTCGACCATAATCAATATAATAGGGTTGAGTATGTACTTTTTAACCATTAAACAACTTGGGTGTTACAGTCCTTTAAATTTCGATTCAAAATATTTACGTTTTATTGAGTTTTGTTAATTTGTGTGAGACAATTATTGCTTACGAGCAAAATATCTTAAAATCGCTGTTGTCAAACAATTTATGAGCAATTTCAAGGACTTTAAGAACTCAATTTTTATTTTTAAATTTTATGGTTGTATTTTTAAGATACCTACTATGAAATATTAGAAACTTTTAATGATATTTTTTACAGGTATCCAAATGCTTCATTTTCTTCCATATTGGTAGGTAAGTCATATAAATTTACGACCTTAGAAAGGAAATTAAAAACTTTGCGGAGAAAGCAGGTTTTTAATGTTTCCACTTTAGTAATAAGTTTAAACACCTGTTAGGAAAAATTAATATTAAATTGTAGGTAATACACTGGTTAATTTATTTATTTCTATATATTTCAAAATTAAAGGGAAAGAATCATTATATAGATGAGGTAAAAGATTTTCTCATCATGGACTAGCTATGATACCAGGATTCACGATTATTCTTACATATTTGGTGGTATGAATGAAGTTCAATGCCTACTATACTCTGACATTTCTAAAATAGTCACTTCATTTGAAATGCATAACCTATTGTGTTCACTTTCTTGGTAATGTACTATTCCAGACTTAGTTTGTCTTAATTTATTCTGTAATACATATCTATATGCGTGCATAGAAAAATGCATGAATCTATTTATTAAAAATAAGAGTACGAAAGTGTAAGTAATAGAAGATAAAGTAGTTTACAACTATGTACAATTACTTACTTGCATTCCAAGCACGTGCTTCCGTCAGAGAGCAAATTGGATTCTATCATAGCGACGCTCTGAAAGGGAAAATGAAAAATTCTGAACAGATTCACTAAATGGCTTTTCAAAAAGAGGTTCACATTCTCTAACAAGTCTCTTTTAACGTACTTGCACTGTGAAGTGCTTTTCAAAAGCTTTTATGCGATTCTGAATATCATCTTCATGAATGGGATGTCTGTCAGCAATTAAAATTCCGTCCAGAAGTCTTTAAAAAAGACCTATTGCATAATCCACGTTGATTGACGAAAGAGAACAATAAATTTGTGAATGTACTTTATTTTTCAAAAATAAGTTCTTATCATTTGTTCCATGCAAGAAAAATTGACTATGCTCCTGTTGTAGGCTACAGATTTACATGTCACATGCAAAAACCAGAGCTGATAGCTGAATGTGGTTCCAACATAGCATTAGAAAATGTAACTTCAAAAAGTCCCTCATCTGGGTTTTCGGTGGTTTTGGTTTAACCTATAAAATCCCTATTCATATCCTATCAGCTCTGATTTCTTAGGAAAATAAATCGTATTTATATATTGTATGGGCATTGCAAGTTGAGATTTGATTTCATTTAAAAGTTAAAAACCTTTAACGGTAGACGAACAACAATGCCAGGATAATAAGGTTTCGTCGGAACCTTCATATGTGGAATCCCGAAAAAGGCATTCTAATAATGGGTATCCTTGATGCTATAAATCAAACTAAGGATTCGTTATCCTATTGCATTGAAACTTGGATAGTTTGAATACAACTCCAGTTTAATGGTTGAAGTTTTAATTGACCGCAAAATTTTCATGGTGCAGTTAGATGCAACGGAGACATTATCTAATATTTAGTAAATCTTGTTATCAATTAATGTACGAGAACAAGAAGGTTGTTAGTATATACAAGTGAATACGTAGGAAGCTGGCTTAATTACGTTACCGAACTTTATTAATTCAATTCAAATCAAATGACGCTGCCCACAAAACTTAGTTATTCTGCCCTAAACTTTGAACTTTGAATTAACAAATATTATAAAGGTTCCTTACAAAGATACGTAAACCTGCTGATGCTTACACCAAGAGGCTTGCTATAAGTTTAATTATTTTTGATCAAACCATTAAAAAATTGAAAGAAATATTTTTATGGTTTTGAACTTTTGAATCGCCAAATTAAAAAGAATTGTGCTAATTAAGTCTGAAAGTGAAGCTACGTCACTTTGACGTGCACCCCCATTCCTAAACGTGGTTCAACGTAGCCTTTTGTCAGACCCCTACCCTCTCAGGTAAGCTACGTCAAAAACGTTAAAAAAAATGGGACAGACAGGCACCTAAATAGAGTTAAATGTAATAAATTAAGCTTCTTAATATGACATACCGTAAGTTCGATATTTTTCGCAATTGTGCTTTCTGCAATATTAGCAAAGGGTTTGTCAGCGCCCCAGTATTCAACGTATTTTGTCATTTTAGTTGAGGGTCGTGAACGAGGTGTTATAGGTCCTGGTGTTGCAATTCCAGTCCCATTCATATCTTCGGAACAGCTTCTACCGTTAGGCCTAGGGCTTCTATCTGCCTTATTTTCCACATCATTTTTCTGGAAACAATATTAAGTTTCTTACACACCTAGTCCGGAATGTTTGATTTCCTGTGTTTTCTAAAGATTTTGAGTTTTAATTTACATATTGAAATCCATGTTTTTTCTTCTTTAGATATAGTGACGAACCTATAGATACGTATGAGTATATTTACTGTACATTTTATAATTGAGTTACAATATAAGAAATTTTTTGTTGATATACTTTTCTTGTATATGTACAATAATTCGTTTGTACACGCAAGAGAAAATTGTGTTTTTCACCGTACAATTCCGAAATATAAAGTACAAAATGATTTATAATCACGCGACGAAGTGGTCACTCAACTCAATATGGTAATTACGTACAAGCGCCATAATATATTTTATTAATGTACATATTATTTTCTTTTCAAAGTTCATTCAATAAATGTCACTGTAGCACACATAAATGTTGGACTAATCATATTTTCCACTTTCTCTGCACTAGAAGTATTGAGTCATTTAAAATTTAAATAGTATTGTCACTATAGAACTAACTAACTGATTTGGATAAAATAATTCGAAGTGGTCTGTATTCTGTCGAAACTGCCAGACGCGGATCGCGATTTTGATCTTTTTGGATCTCATCAGCGCGTCGCAGGCAGCTCCGACAGAACACAGACCAACTTTTACCTGCTGTCTTAATAGCGCGTTTTAGAAAATACCACATAAGGCGCGGTAAACGCCATCTGTAGTACGATGCTATATTTTAGGATTACGTATGCTCCAACAAGGTCCATTTAAATATACGGATAACTGATTTGACATTAAATCTTTACAATGTCCAAGTGTGGGCTTTGAAACTGAATAAAACATGTTAAAAAAAGAAAAAAATTGTTAGTTTATATCAAAATGAAAAACAGTGCTTCTGTTGGCGTCAAAGATGAATAATTGTTACAAAGAAGAATATTTTGTTCATGAAAACAAAAAAAAATCATGAAATTAGAGAATTAAAGTTTTGTTTGCACTTTTTGAATATTCAAAGTGTAATTTATTCATAATTAAAGCGTGAACTGGGTTACGTAGTTTCCGAGTTAATTATTAAACAATGAGAGGCATACATACATAGGTGATGTTAAAGCGGGCAGACCTACATGACGGGAAAAATGAAAAATTTCTGCTGAAATGCAATTTTGAGTTTATTGGACAATTCATTCTGCAGGTGCTATTTTTATGAAAACTAATTTCAGTTTCAACCTCGCTTTACTGGTATACTTTTAATGTAACGTGAATGCAATTTTTTTAGAAATAAAGTTTCAACGGCGTGATGAAATAATATTATCTAACATAGTAACGATAATAATAAACAAGATTAAGTTTGGGATGTTGTTATAAAATATATAATAGTTATTAAGAAGTCGTTAATTTTCGAAGGTTTTTAAAATTGTTGTATAGAAATAAACTAAAATATTAACGTTATTGGAGTTTAACTAAGAAATTTTGTACTGAAGATACAAATTTCTCTCAAATAAAGCGAAGTAAATAAATAAAATAAAGGAAACATTTTCATTATGTGATGCACATTTTAATCCTTTCTGCATCAATGCAGTTCCTAGAAACTATATCCGGTGGAAAACCTGAAGGCATTAATTTTCATAGTTTGTTTGTCTGAAATTTTGTCCATTGTTTTCACACAAGTTAACACGGATTTACCGTTAGCTTCATTCAGATGAAATTTTCTGTACGCTAGCAAAACCAGAATTCGGAAAAAAAAATGAAAACGTAAATCTGAATTCGTTGACCGAGTTTGCAAGAAAATTACAGTCAGTTTTTGTAGGTAACTTTATCTGTGTTAAACAAAAAAATGACTCTTGTACGTATCGTCCTTTTTACCCACAGAACCTTCTCTCTCATTCCCTATATAGTTTTTATGCTCTCTTTCCTGCAACTTATAAGTTATAGAAATTAAACAAATCAAATTTTTTATAGAAAACGTTATTTATTACTATTTTCAAAAAATTATTATATCACTTTGAAGAATGACTTGTCCAATACCTACTACGTCAGGACTACATTAATAGGGCGTATCGTAAAAGGGTTCAAAAAGGTTATTGGCATCAGAGCCAGATCAGGCTATAAAGAAGGCTCAAGGGTTAAAAGATAGTATCTACAGGCCACATAAATCTTAATGAGGCATGCTCTAGTAAATCCAGATCCGCTAGGATGTTAATAGAGCCTGCCCAAACAAATTTCCAGTCGGGGTTAATTTAAGTTCATAATCTCGAGGTATATACTCTCCAATTACAGTTTTTGTTATTTGCGACCGAGGTGAATTTAACCGCAACGAAGAAAGCGCTAATTGAAACCACTTAAGGTATTAAAAGCTTCAATATTATATAATTAATTTTAATTTTGGAATCGTGCATTAATGATTCATTTTACGCAAATCTGAACAAAATTGATAACTAATAGAAAATCCTGTTTTATTTATGAAAACTCTGACATTATACACGATCTTACTTTCTTCCTTATTTGATGCATGTAAATTTCATTCAAGGATTAAAACTTCTTAGAAACATACGTTGTACGGGTGCGAAACATGGACGGTGGACGCGGCGGAAAATAAAAGGTTAGAAGCGTTCAAAATGTGGTGTTACAGGCGAATGATGATGATTCCGTGGGTAAAGAAGGTTAGAAATGAAGAGGTATTAGAAAGAATAGTAACAGAGGACTCTATGGAAGTTAATAAAAAATAGGCGAGATAGGTCGGTAGGACACCTTCTCAGGCATGAAGGTCTAGTCAGAGACATATTAGAGGCAGAAACAGAAGTTAAGAGGGGTAGAGGTAGACCTAGATTAGATTACTGTTCGCAAATAGTTAAGGATGTGGGATGTTCTAGTTTTAAGGAAATGCGAAAATGAGCTCAGGATAGGGAAAAGTGGAGGAAGTTTCCAATCAGTCTTAGGACTGACGACCTTATGATCATGGTGAGGAATATACAATTTTAATAGGGTATCATAGGAGACATAAATGTGTAGAGGATCTTGAGCGCTTATCAAAATGCTATTATATATGTTAAAGAAGTTTTGGTGGTTTATAAGTAGAGTAAGATAAGTCATTATCTTATGATGACGTGCTAAAACCGATAGATGCTCGAAACTGACTTTTTAAAGGATGCTAAACCAAATCGTGTGGTGCTCTTTAAAATTCTAGAAAATAACTAAATCACACCCAAATAATGAGCAGTGCATGAACGACTTCATCATAAACGCCGAAAAAGAGCAACTGATTCGTTTAGAAACAAAAATGAAAGAAGCAAACCTTTGGAGGTACGATAAGAAACGTCTCCACTTTGTGGTCTGCTAGGTATGGTTCCCGACTAGCTCCATTTCCCGGCTCAACTTCGAATTTATCCCCCAGTTGAAGCAGTGTAGCTCGTGTAATATGGACTTTCCTGAAAAAATAAATATTCTGTAATCTATATATAAGGCTTCATTCTTCTACTTTACAACAATTTCAACATTTTTAAAATTTATAGTTTATTAGAATATACTAATATTCCCTAAAAAAATTGAACAGATTTGACGCCTTCTTATGCTTCCTTTAGATACGTATTGTTGCACTTATTTTAAATGGAGTTAAAATGTTGTATCTCAAGACTATGTTTATTTTATTCTTAGTTTCTGGTTGATTTTGTATTTTCGAGTAAAAGTAATTTGCGGGACTTGTGCAACAAAACAAAAAGGAATAATAAACTCGATGAAGTAAGGGATAACTTTTTATTACTTCGAAAGCGAGTTTAGTTTAACAAGTTTAGTTTCTTAAAGTACGGTAAACAGAAGTTTTATCAGTTAATTTAAATTAGATCAAAGATTTTACTAGATATTGCAATTGTTTTATTTGATTACCGTCTAAAAACTTTTATTAAAAACTTTTAGTAACAGTCGTTCATAAATAATCTTTTTATACAACTTTTATTGATCGATCCATTTTATCAATTAATGTCGTTCTCTGTAGGTAATTATTTGCCTTTATTAGGTATAGCAAATTTTCAACCTAAATTGATTGGAAAAGGATATTCTCTTTATACAAAAGTAAAACAATAAAATGAAGACGTCCCTTTTGTGACAGGGTAATTTAAATTAGGTTTCAACATTCCCCTAACATAATGGGTTGTTTATGACAGAATTTTGTAGGTACATTTATTCTACACTGACTAAGGAACTAATTCTCCCTAGTCTTAATACCATTCAAAGACATCAAAGTAAGATTTCGAAAATGTACCAAGCTGTGCTTCAAATTTTATGGACCTTAAATTAGCTTTAATCCACACGACTTACGGAGTATATAACTAATTATGTTAGTTTAATTTACATTTTCAGTATACGAGAGAAAGCGTCAACCCTCTTCAAAGGTTACATTATCTTGAAAATATTATTTGCCCTTGTAATAATATAGTACTAGATGCATATGTATAATAAACATGTCGTAGGCAAATGTGTGTCGACATCTCTGTTTTGGTATACTCATTAGGTTTTGTATCATTACTTTGAAGTTTATGGTCAGACAGAGTCAACCCTCCTACAAAATTGTGGCAATTCTTTAATACATTAACGGGGTGTGTTTGTCGTGAAATCACGAGCAGTATTTTATCAAAATGTTGATTTAACGAAGCGAATGAAACTTGATATAAAAGACTATATTACAAATTAATTATTAACTATGAAATAACGGATTACAACTACAGGCACAACGAAGAAAATATGAATTAAAAACGCAAATTAACAAGAAGGACAAAACGTAACTCGCTCTGAATTATGTGACACAATCAAAAATTGTTCTGGTGCCACCACCAATACCTCTTATGCAGCAAAAGAATGTTTTCATGGAAGAGGGGAAATCTTCAAAAGACACCCAGCCGTCCGTACGACTGGGTAGTGTCGGATTCCCGAGGAAGAAGTCCTGGGACCTACCGACTAAAATCCCTCTGCCTCAGGCCGTTCTAGGACCAATTAAGGTCCTCTTCAGCCGGAACAAAAGAATACTAGTTAGAAGCCAATAAGGGGAAAACCCCAGCAAGGTATGACTCTGCTTCGAGCTATGAAATTCCTGTAACCTGTATTCAATTGAGAGCATCGACAATAAAATTAACAAAGGTGGTTGCCGTCGAAGACCTTCACATGACCTGACTATTGGGACCAAATCGGTCTCTTATTGTTTGCTAAAGAACATTCAAGAGATACTTGACTATCTTGTATGCATTTGAAATTATGGAAGTTTCCAATATAATTAAATAAAATAACGATAAGCAAATCTATCTCTAATTAAAATAATATCTCTAATTAAAATTAAACTGAAACAGAGTGTACAAATTCTGATGAGATAGCAGTTCTTCAGCTGTCCTATAACATGGTACAAAAATAATGAACGATTTTGTAATAACATACTGTGTAACTGAGTGCAAAAGCTACGACAATTTTACAATACAGTGTAAAAAGAGTGTCTCATAAAACGGTACGAAAACTATGATAGCTTTTTGTAAGACGTGATTTATTTAACAATGTAGTGGGAAAGTTGTAATTATTTTTGTACAACACCTGCCTATCTAAATTCAAAATTTGTAACAAGGGTTAAATATATTAACATGGTATATGACTAATATATAATTTATAAATTTTTGTTGATAGTTTATAGTGGTTCAAATTTTATTTTCAATGTCAGATATTGTTACGTATACAAGTAGTATCCCATTGAAAATTAAATTAGTTATGTGCTTACCCCGCGATTCCTCCCGATTCCATATGGTTGGCTAATGTAACGTCATCACTCCATACATCAAATTGCCATTTACGGAGTCCTAGTACACCGCAGAGTACATTTCCGGTGTGTATTCCTATCCTCATGTCCACATTAAATCCTGTAGCTTCTCGAACAAATCTGTAACAAAAACATATATCGGTAATATCCGCACTACGCGGAGTTCCAAGGATAATAGCCAGGATTAGCATATTCAGAGAGATAGGACTAGATTTCAAGACTGAGAAAGGAACGTTTGCTATTTATTTGTTTTGTGAAATGTAACAGGATCATTTATCTTCCTTATAGAACGGTAAATTAAGTTAAAAGCATTTGATGATTGTTTAAAGAGAATATTAAGATGATCACATGCTGATGAAGGACCTCTCATCAGCACTTTTATAAAGTATTTGAATTTTCTACGGAACCTGCTGCAACCTGTTAATTTATACATTCAGTAAAAGGAAGAGATAGTCGAGAACTTGAAGTATACTTCGTTTAGTTTCTGTAGCGAAGTGACCTTCAGTTTGACCGGCGCAAAGTAGAAAAGAACAGCACTAGGCCAGAAAAGGAAGGAGACAACTCTCGGCCAAACTCTTAACCGGTGAGGAGCGTATAATCCGTACAGTACTGCACGGAAAAATTGACCATTTTATCCACTACAATTGCATTGCTCAAATGTGCTGTTATTGGTACCAATTACTACTAAAAATATCATCGAGATGTTTATTTATATTTGAAGACATATTAAAGGCTTCAACGCTTGTTTTCGACTCCCCTACTATTCATTATCGAACGAAACTTTTGGAAGGTACTGTATGAAAAAGTAAGTTTAATGACCAAGAGTCGAGAGTATAATGAGCTTTTTTCTCCCTACCTACTATTTTGCCAGCGCGCATCCAAGACATTGGAAGGGGTTCATCGCTAGAGAATGTAAATAAAGTATACTTCAGTAATATATCAAGAATATCGTCCGGACTAGCGCCTATATTTGGAAACTTCTCTTATCTCCTTTATATGTATAATAAAGACAGATTAGATTTTCCAGACTTTTTATCATAATCACTAAAACGTCTAGAAAAATTGCACTACAGAACAAAGACGTGGTTCAGCTGCAATGACACTGTCAGTCAAATATTGTATTTTACAGAGTACGAGGGTTGTTTGATGAGCCAGTGACTTTTGCTATATTTATTTTTCAACGCTCAGCTCAATAGACTTAGTTTAACTTCTTTGACCTTTCTTGAAAATATGTTTTATCTAACTTTGTAAAACAGGCATTAGTTTCAACAACAGTCTCCTCATTAGACGAGAAAATTGCCAAATCAGGACAATAAGGTGGTGAAAAAACATTTTATACCTTAATATATCCTAGCTACTGACGAGTGTGGCGATGCATTGTACTAGTGAAAGAGAACTTTTTTCTTCATTTTTTACCAATTCATCGTGAAATTTGTCCAATAATACTATTATCGTTATCATAGATATAGTCAATTAATCAGTTAGTCTTTCATTGTGAGAAAACCTTTTGAAATTATCTCTAGATAATGCAGACTCTCAAAATAGAATAAAAATTTTAATTGGACTTTCACCTTTTATGAAGTCACTGACTTTACACTTAACAGCCCTCATACACTTTATGGCCGGGGTTTTTTGTAGCGTCTAGGATTTTCAAACAACTACGTAATACTACTTTATAATGCAATCTCTTCAAAAGGATTTGTATTGTTATAAATAGTTTTAACAGCCTTCCGTCGACTAAATAGCACCCCCTTTAATTGTTATTGATCAAACAGTAGTTACAGTTTATGGTTATGGGAGTTCAAAATGAACACATTCGCGACCTTCTTAACCCAACAAATTATTTATCTACACAGCGGAATTAATGGCCTATAAATTGCTCAATTCTCGCCGCGAATGAAAAATATACAAGATACACAATTTTCAACTTATTTACCGTTGGTGAAAACTTTTTTCGTGGCGTAGTAAAAATAGACGAAAGAAAAATAAATAGAGGCGTTTTTATTTAACTATTTACCAATTTTCTTTTAAATGAAACCATACATCTACATTTCATGCTTATACCAATGAATTAATCTTAAATTTTAGCACTCATACACAATCATAAACATAAAATTGATGCAACCGGAATGATGATGTTCTGCTTGGGTTCAATTCCTGACTGATGCAATGTCTGCTTTACATTTTTTTACTTGTCTTAACGGCAACCTGTAGAAAGGAATCATTTTTCGATTTTTAATTTACCCACTACAAACTACCTCAAATGAATGAAAGAAAAGTTGTTGCTGTTGTCGCACCCCCGCCGGGAATCGAACCCGGGACCTTTGGCTTTACGCACCAATGTTCTGACCACTACACTACGAAAGGTGACAACAGCAACCACGACCAACCGACCTACAAGGTTAACGATCCCTCGATTTTTATTAACTTNGTGTAGTGGGTAAAAAATTCAGAAATGAATTTTCAGAATAATATTTCATATTAAACTAACTCACTTCTAAAAGATATCTAAATTATATGTATGTTTAATCATAGTATATTCAGTATATAGTTACATTAGTTCGACGGATCGTTAACCTTGTAGGTCGGTTGGTCGTGGTTGTTGTTGTCACCTCTCGTAGTTTAGTGGTCAGAACATTGGTGCGTAAAGCCAAAGGTCCCGGGTTCGATTCCCGGCGGGGGTGTGACAACAGCAACAATTTTTCCCTCATTAATTTGAGGTAGCGTGTAGTGGGTAAAAAATTCAGAAATGAATTTTCAGAATAATATTTCATATTAAACTAACTCACTTCTAAAAGATATCTAAATTATATGTATGTTTAATCATAGTATATTCAGTATATAGTTACATTAGTTCGACGGATCGTTAACCTTGTAGGTCGGTTGGTCGTGGTTGTTGTTGTCACCTCTCGTAGTTTAGTGGTCAGAACATTGGTGCGTAAAGCCAAAGGTCCCGGGTTCGATTCCCGGCGGGGGTGTGACAACAGCAACAATTTTTCCCCCATTAATTTGATGTAGTGGGTAAATTAAAAACCGAAAAAATGATTTCAAATTAATGTTGCATATTAATCCTCTATTAAGTAACTAACAATGTCATAGGATTTCTGTAGAAAGGGTTTGTATAAAAAATGCCCGAAAAAGCCTGCACAACTTTCGAAGTTCACCTATAAATGTAAATATTTAATACTCTATTTTACCAGAAGTTTTGAGGGATTTTAAACCGCACCGATTATTTTACATTTCGGCAATCATATTTTATAAATCTGGAACTGATTCCTTGAAGGTTCCAGCATTTGAGTCACAGATCTTTTAAAGAAAGTTCGAGAACATTTGTTTATGATCCAACAACAGTCTAGAAATCATATAAATATCATTGAAACTGGAAATTAATGTTATTACCTAATAGCATCTATCATTTGCAATCCCATGTTCACACAGTTATAGGCATGATTAGGTCTTGAAATTGGTAGGCGAACGAAACTTTTGGAAGGTACTGTATGAAAAAGTAAGTTTAATGACCAAGAGTCGAGAGTATAATGAGCTTTTTTCTCCCTACCTACTATTTTGCCAGCGCGCATCCAAGACATTGGAAGGGGTTCATCGCTAGAGAATGTAAATAAAGTATACTTCAGTAATATATCAAGAATATCGTCCGGACTAGCGCCTATATTTGGAAACTTCTCTTATCTCCTTTATATGTATAATAAAGACAGATTAGATTTTCCAGANTATTTTAATCTATAATATATTTAGACTTATTTTTTATGAATTACTCTTATACCTAGAAGCAATATGACAAATTGATAGCGAGTTGTTTAAAAGATTAAAAGGTGCTTCTGGTTTCAGCATATATTTATTTAATTATTCTTTTAAAATTGTTTTAATTGAGCTGTAATCAATATTTAACAATGCTTTCTATTGAAACCATAAAATTCATCTAATTAAAAGGGAATGGATTGTTCTATCTATTCAGCTGCTTCAAGGATATAATTCAATTCCATTTTCGGTTTAGTTATGGACAAATTTATTGAAATGTTGTGTGTCGACAATGTGATTATGATAGTTTTTGAACTACTAAAATGTAGTTAGTTTCTAACAGGGTTGTATTCAAAATACACAGTTTAATTTTAAAATTAACTGACAGTACATTTCAATTTTACTATTGTTGATATTTAAATGCAATTGCGATTTGTTGTTTCGATTAACATGTCCCATGAAAATTTCACTTCCCAGGGGAAGATGGTGAAAAACCGCTTTCTTATTTCTGAGACACTCTTTACTTTTCCTACTTGGGTTCGTAATGTGGTTCTACTAGAGATACTACTTGCGGTTTTATCTCATTTTTATGGAACTCAATGCATCTTGGGTAATATGGAAATACAGCGACGTAGCCCACCCTTAGCCCATAAAAAAGAAAGCTGGTTGCGTCCGTGTCAATAAAAGTTGATTATTGTCAGTAGAATTATTATTGTCTTTGGTAAGACCAATATTAAAAAAAAAAAAACGGATTGAATTTCTTCTAAATGCGTTTTCATACGGAATGTCAGGGTAAAAACATTCCTTCTTTCATAGTTGCATTTGTTACAAATGGCCCTTAACCACTTTTATAGCCGCGATCATAAGAAAAATGATTACTCACCTGCGCGATTTGATCGAACCTTCCGAACAATTCGTTCAAAGTTTTCACCAAATCGGATGCGGAAAGTTGCTCCGATAAAGGCGTAAAGTTGACAATGTCTGCGTAAAGAATGGACACATTATTATGTCTCTGGACATACATCTCGTGGAAGCTTTGCTTGTTCGAAACTTCCTGACAGGCATCTGCCATCTTCAGCATTATGCTCCGTTTCACCTGAAACAAAAGAAACACCACAATGACAAACAGACACCTGCTTCTAAACAGTTTTGACATTTATACACAGGTTGATTATTCTACGATTTCTATTTTACAATGTCAATGTTCGGTATCTAGGAAGTCAGATAACTCAGGATGGAAGGAGCAGTTGGGGTATAAAACAGAGAATAACGGAGGAATGAGTAGCCTTTAACAAAAAAAAGGCACTTCGGTCCTCGCGAATGGTTAATTTAGAAATTCGAAAAAGATCGTTAATGATGTATGTCTGGTGTACGGTGCTGTATGGGTGCGAAACGTGAAAAGGTTAGAAGCCTCGGTGAAAGATGAATAAAGAAGGTAAGAAATGAGGAGGTATTAGAAAGAGTAGGAGAACAGAGGGCGCTATGGAAGTCAATAAGAAGTAGGTGGGATAGGTTGGTAAGACACTTTTTCAGGCATAAAAGGCTTGCTAGAAACATATTAGTAGAAGAAACAGGAGTTAGGAGCAGGAGAGATAGACCTAGATTAGATTATTAACAAAACAAAAGATGTATGTCTAACAAGTTTTGGGACTGATGACTTTATGATCATGAATGTTTTAGGTTTAAGGACAATTATCAACTGTTTTTTATGCTAAACGGCGAGTCGTAACTGAGCGCATAGCTGACTGACGGCGAGCAGAATTTGAGTATAAAAAGATATAACTTGCATTTTGAGTATAAAAAACTGTAACTTGCATGCGACATAATTTACTGATATTGGCAAGTATTATGATATTCAGGAAGTGCAAATATCAAGAAAATTACTTAACAACTATCTCTATTATCTTGTGGCTTTAATTGGAGTTCCGGAATTAGAAACAGTACGGATCATTTATAAACACAATGCGCCAAGAACGGTTATTAAAACTTTCCGTTTGAGATTCGCATTTTGCTCTGCTATCTTGCATTCTTGCATGGATATTTATGAAAGTTTCGCCTTCATTAAACTTACCCGGTAGTCGTTAGTAGGCAATCATTATTACCATTGCTAAAGTTTGCATAAGTCTAAGTTTCTTACTTGGGCAATAGATAAGGCCATCAAATAGGTAATAAATATGATAAGTTCTTAAAAACTTAACTTTTAACGACTTTCACGCCATAGCTTATCTTATATCTAGTAATAATACTTTTTTTCCGTACTGGACGATTCTGTTCTGTAATGAATAAGTTCACAAATTATACTTCGTTTACGTTCTGTAGCGATGTGACCTTCAGTTTGATCGGCGCAAAGTAGAAAAGAACAGCACTAGACCAGATAAGGAAGGAGACAACTCTCGGCCAAACTATTAACCGGTGAGGAGCGTATAATCCGTACAGTACTGCACGGAAAAATTGACCATTTTATCCACTACAATTGCACTGCTCAAATGTGCTGTTATTTGTACCATTTACTAATGAAAATATCAACGAGATGTTTATTTATATTTGAAGACATATTAAAGGCTTCAACGCTTGTTTTCGACTCGCACTACTATTCATGATGGAACAAAACTTTTGGCAGGTACTGTATGAAAAAGTATGTATAATGAACAAGAGTCGAGAGTATAATGAGCTTTTTTCTCCCAACCTACGATTTTGCCTGCGCGCATCCAAGACATTGGAAGGGTCACATCGCTACAGAAAGTAAATGAAGTATGTATAGAAGTAATGTTTTAGTTGCAATTCACTTTTTAACATTGGTACGGGAGACGCGAATTTGATTTATCATTCGATAAACATCATGTAGGTATTCAAAGTGAAGTTTAGAATCAAGTTTTGTTTATTAATGTAGTTGGGGAAGTTTTATTAAAACAGAATTTCAGAGGTGTAACTTATATTATCTATATTTTATAATCAAAATTAATGTAAAATATTTGTAAAAGTGAAATTTGAATTTCAAATGCAAAAGAAATGTCTTTTCTCTGGATATATTTCTGGCAACATGTTTTCTACGTTTCCTTCCATTTAATATTTTAGTAGATCTGTAGGTATAGGTACCTTTACCACGTATCAGTTTTATAAAACTCCCTGAGAAGAACAAAAGCATTCTACTGAACCATCCAATATTATCGGTATAGGATTAAAAACAGTACCTTAAAGAAAAGATTTTAAAAAGTGCCTCGAGGCACGGATTCCTCGAAAAGTTTTGCTAATTAAAACGCGATTGTTCGTAAATACTCGACAAAAGAAGACCGGAAAATGAGCAACAAAATCCAACGAGCTGATTTTCATTTGCAGGGGCAGATTATTATTATTAATTAATTAAGGGCTGAATTGATATAATCAACCATTACATTATTAAAGAAAATTAAATACCTAAAGCGTTTGCGGAGGTGAAATGCTTTTTTGGTCATTTCGTGTCAAATAGGCTTTTCACTTTTTCGAAACGCTTTATCGAAGTTTACTTAAAAATGGGAAAATATTTTCAACTATTACGATAGGTAATTAAAAAAAAACGAAAAAACACGATTTGATTTTAAGGAATAACTCGTTTTTAAACTTTGTGTCAAAGTTTATTACCATGAGTACCGTTCGGGGGATGTTATTCTTTATTATCCTTGCTTTCCTGTTAATCAAACGATATGTATTAAAACTATTTACACAATCATAAACTTTGAGCAAGTGCTTCTCATCTTTCGGAAATAATAATTCTTGTGTAATGCCTGTACGTGATTGCTCATTAACGTTTTACTACTGACCAGAGTTTCAAATACACACGGTGGTTATAGAGCAGTTCATTACTTTTACACGTTATTGTACTTCGTTTCGGTCGTAGTTTTACAAATAAAATTTCATCCGTTCGAAAGTTTATTAGTCACGTACAAACATAGAGTTACAGTTTTCTTTTAGTAGATAGGTATGGGTACTTATTAAATGAAGTCGTTCTTTTTTACTGTATCTTGAATGAGTTATTTACATTAATGTAGATATTAGAGGTACCTATATATATTTATGAAGTAAAATTATATTTAAAAAGTTGCAAAAGAGGTATTTTAGTCTGCAAGAAAGGTTAAGGGTTCATAACAGGGAGTTTTTTGGATCACTCTGTAAAGCAATTAAGAAAGCTTTATGGCCGACGACGGCAACAATACGTCAACAATTAAAAAAGCATGATGGCCGACAACGACAACAATACGTCAACAATTAAAAAAGCATGATGGCCGACAACGACAACAATACGTCAACAATTGAAAAAGAATAATGGCCGACAACAGCAACGTCAACTACTAAAAGGCATAATAGTGGACAGTCGATGAATTAAAATGACCAACTATTTTAATAACAAGGATGCAGATTCCTTTAAACTACTTAAATTCATTTTTTTGTAAACTATTCTCTGTTTTTTTTAGTTAATTACCTATTAGGGCTTAAAAGGCGTAAATTAAATTTACGCTTTCATGTCGGTAGGTACTAATAAGCTTTCAGTTGATGTAGGTGTACGTACTTATGAAGTAAAATTATATTTAAAGCTGCAGAAGAGGTCTTTTAGTTGACAATAAAGTTAAGGTTAAGGGTTTAAAACAGAAATGTTTTTGGATGATTGCGTAATGCAATTAAGAAAGCATGATGGCTGACAGTATTAACAATCCGACAATAATTAATAAGTATAATGACCGACGACAGCAACAATACGTCAACAATTAAACAATTAAAAAAGCATGATGGTCGACAACAGCAACAATAAGACAACAATTAAAATGCATAATGGCCGACGACGGCAACAATACGTCAACAATTAAAAAAGCATGATGGCCGACAACAATACGTCAACAATTCAAAAAAAAATAATGGCCGACAATGACAACATCAACAACTAATAAGCATAATAGTCGACAGTTTGTGAATAAAAATGACCGACTATTATAATAACAAGGATTCAGATGCCTTTAAGCTACTTAAATTAATTTTCTTGTAAACTATTCTCTGTTGTTTTCAGTTAATTGCCTACGAGGATATAAACAGTGTAAACTAAATTTATGTTTTCATGTAGGTACCTACTACGAATAAGTTTTTAACTACTTTAGCTAATTTTGATTTTAATTTATTAAAGAAATAAGCAGTTGCTGTTGCGATAAATTAACACGTATTACGGTTGGCTTTTCAAATAAATCGTATTCTAATTCGAAATGTACAAATGTTTCGGGGAATAATGTAGTAACGCACAATAAATCATACATTTGAAACGGAAGGTAACATTTCTCAGAGTGATTTACTGCCTAAAACAAACGGACATTGTACACGTTTTTGGTGGGATTACAATCAGAAAATGTAGGGAAATTGAGTTATGGTCTGCAATTGTGCAGCGAAATTAAAAAATAGAAGAAAATGTATTCAGTATTTCATAAACTTCTGTTGAATGGATTATAAATACCAATAAATATGTCGTTGAAATAAAGGTAATCCCTGTTATAGATCAGGTACTTATCTTTTAAAAGATATTTATTGTACCTACCCCTTTTGGATTCTTTCTGATGTTTCAAATGATATCTTATTGGTCTTTCGACATTATCAACGAACAATAAATCATCAATAAACTGATAATATGTGATACACAGATCAACCTAATTGTTTCGGTTTTAAAATTCTTAGCAAGCAATATATTATTTTTAATATCCTATTAGAAGAATCCGTGAGCTGAAACAAAATCTTAAAAAATCTGGGTTTTGCATACATTAGTATATTGTAAGGTTTACTTAATATGCATAATAATACAAAATGATTACAATTTTACTTTAGCTAATCGCGTTGTAACTCATAATTGACGTCATGTTTTCACAAATGGGAAAAGGCTGTAGTTTTTCCAACCTTTTCTAGTTCTTGAAACTTGAAACTGCAGATGTAGTCTGATGAAATTAGTTCAACTTGTTTCGCTTCAGATAGCAACCCTCTAAGCAATTTTGTTTGTTTTGTAGTTCTGTTTGTTCAAAATGGATGTTATAAACTATATTTAAGTTTTGAAATATGAATAAGCAAATGTTTATGTAAACATGTAATCCCTTACTAAAAATAATAAGTACCTAGTAGTGCAACCTCAGATCCTTGCTGCTCACCAATAAACCAATAAATAGATAATAACATTTGCTGGAATTGAATGATATTATGTCCATAAAACGAATAATAAAAGAAAAGAAACGTGAAAAGGTAAAGAGGACAGGCTTAGGGTTATTCACACGTGTATTTAGAAGTTCTTAAAAAGGGACCAAGTTCGGGTGATGTGCGAAACTAAACGTGCATTTGGCTTTCCACCGAACTGGAAAAGGATAACCCATTTACGGGGATATGATTTTGAAAAGGACTTTAGAGAGTTTCTTTTTATTAAATTAAGTAAAGTTTTGTTTCTTTCATTTTGTCTCTACTAGAAGTAGATACGTTAAAATCTTTATTTCCTGCAGATGCTTCTTTTATTAAGCTGATGAATAATTAATGTTGTTTAGAATGCTTTGTAATTATTGCCTTTTGTTAGGTATTGTAAATTGTTTTAAAAGTTATGAAATATATGTGCAGGCATACCAACCGATACGGTTTCCGACCATATAACCATAAATTTAGAAGTTCTAGTTAGTTCTCGGAAAATATAACGGTTTGTGTTCTCTGCATGTTATAATGTGTCTCCTGGCAATAACAAGGAGCATGTTTTAGATAGGTATATACATTTTGATTAAAACTGGACATACATTTTCGTTTTATTATTGAATATATCTACATCGATAACTACAACTATATTCGGAAATGTTACACGGAAGTTCTTATAATTTTCAAAATAGTATAATCACCGTCTCAAATTTTCCTCTTTCGAATAACCGAGCAAGATTTGAGCAAGCGGCGAGTCGTTCCTGTTGACGGCTAGTCATATTTGAGTCGTGTTCAGTTTTCGCATGATCAGTGTACTAAGGTATTAGAAAATGCTTATTCTTACCTCTGCGGCTATGTATGCTGGTATTACGCTAAGAAGAAGCTGTTCTTGCTGTTCTTTTTCGCATTCCAATTTCACCCTAGACTCAATACAATTTCTGGTACCCGTGAAGGTAGTTCTATGGGCTCCTTCGGTCATATGGCGATAATATAAGCCAGTTCCGCATGCAGTTAATAAAAGTACTGCTTCCGGAATAAGCTGAAAGAAAAAATAACCATAGTAATTTGACTCCCAGTCGAATTTCTAGCAAGATTTTCTGGCCTAAATTATATTAATTTTCCAAGCATGTAAGGGTTACGTCTGTGTCCTGAATCGACGGGCAAAGTAAATATTTATATGCAAATACAAGGTTAATTAAGTCTGAATGGGAATGTTTATATCAAATTTGTCTTCATTAGACCGTTGCTTTTGAAATTAACGACAGAATAAAATACACAAAATTTATTACTGAACAAAATTTTGCAATTTATTTATTGTAAGGAAATATTTCCTTTTATTTGTATTACATCGTAACAATCTCGCAATTCAGTTAAAGATTTTTTAGGAGTACGCAGCAAATTCTCAGAAAGTTCTCAAATTTTGGCAAATAAGCAAATTAGATCCTTCAAATTAAATAAGGATGTAGACGATTACAATAGATTACCTGCCACTGTAAACTTCATTTATCAATTCTTGCCATTTAATATTCAAATATTTCCTTCCCTTAGTAGGTATAAGGCAGAAGCAAAAATTTTCAATTAAAATGTTTGGAAAAGTTAACCGAACGCTTCATTTCTCCTTGAACCTTTTTGAAGATCTTCGGATTTATAAAGTTTCCAGATTCTTTGCGACAACAAATTAATTTTTGAATTTAGAAAGTTACTGTCAAGCAGATTTATTTATGATCAAGAAAACACTTATTAAACTTTAGGAAAGTATGTTTTTGTAGGTAGTTATTTGGATATTAAAGTATTCTTTATCTAAATAATGCACAAAAGTTTTCGCTGTTTTTTTCTTTACATAGTGAGATTGTTTTCAGTTATGTTTTATTAAAGTTTGCAGAGTCTAATTCAATTTAATGTTAGCTGCGATATAACTGAAAGGCGCGGATTAGTTATTCACAACCAAATAAGAATTTAGACTTGAAATTACTTTAATTCGTGAAATTGCACAATACCATACTGCCATGGGTAACATTACTATGTGACCATGCGAATTATTCCATGAATTAAGTAGACAGGGAAAATATGAAAACTTACTTCGTAATAGCGGAAGTAATTTCCGGAATTAATTCTATGAGTAACTGAGGTTGCAAAATGAGCAGCGCTCACAATACTCGCCAGTACCAGCGATATCACTCTAGAAATTGGAAGCATGGTATGCATTGCAACCATGAGAGCAAAAAGCGGCAGGGGCGCATAGGTTCCAGCCAACAGAAATGTTGCTGTTGAAATTCCACCAACAATTAACAGAGATGCCGTCGTTGACCATATTTCCGACTCCAGGATGAAGGAAAACTGAGATATCAGGAACACTGCCATTAAAAGGAATGTCAATACCACCAATGTGATGACAGAAAATAATTCTGATTCGAGATCCTGAAACAAAATCAAAAATATTACGTGTAACTACTGTCCTAAGCAACTGTCTTGGTTTAGGCGAATGAATGTTGATGCTAACGGCGAGACACATCTGAGTCGTGGGTATTTAAACAACTGCTGTGGCAGTAATGTTATACAATACCCACACTTCCTCAGAGACATACTTATAGTAATTATATTTTGTTCTATAAAAACAGAGATGTTGCCTCATAATTATATTATTTCTTAGTTTGGGCGAATGAGTACATTTTGAGCCATCGACTAGTCAAGTTGGAGATAACGGCGAGTCGTGACGTGAACCAGTGTGGCCCAGTGTGGGCAATATCAACGAGAGAGTGATATTCTATTAATTACCACAGTCTGTTCAATTTTTCCTTTTTTGTTTTTTTAAATTATTCAAATTTTGATATGTTACAATGGAGGTACTTTAAGGAGTCATGAGTACCATTTGAGCTGGCGGCGAGTCACACGCGAGCCATGTTTCTATTTTACCTGATTACTGTGTATGAAATATGAATGTTAGCACGAGATACGTAGTTTATGGTGTGTGTGATAAATATATTGCTACAGGCGACGAAAGAATAACCGAAGCCGAACATAATAAAGTAAGGCGTTTGAGATTAGAGGCGCAGTAAAAATTTTTTAATTTATTTCTGCTGAATTTTTCATACTTCGAAGACGAACATAAAACGGAATGGTCAATATCGTAACATGTGCAGCAACGATATCGTTCGAGCAATAAAGTTAGCGCCCGTATTTCTGTGTCCGTTTTGATTCGCCTGCTGAGTCTACAAAGGCGAAACAATCTACAAAACTTTCACGAACTGCTTTTCTATTATTACGAAAATAGATCCCTCAACTGAACCGTAACGAAATAATTTTTATTGGTCTATAAAGCACCGGCTCTCTTGTTTTAAAGTGGGGGCGTTTATGGGGTGATACATATTTCCATTTTTGTTTTTAAAGACAGTACTTTTCAATACATTGTTTGAAACGGACGATATTGTAAATCCTAGCATCTCTGTTATATTTCTTCTATTTTTTTTAAGGTTATGGTAAGGGTAACCCTAGACAAAAATTTTTAAAGTCTTTCCGGCCTCTCAGAGTCTTTCAGCGTCTCTAAGAGCGTCTCTCACAGTCTCTCAGTTACTGCTTAGGTGTTTTTATGGATCTCTCACAGTCTCTGTATGAGAGACTCGAACGTTAAAATTATTAATTTAGAGATTCGAGTCTCTCACAGAGAGACTGAATTAATAAAACTGAAGAATTGAGAGACTCGAGCCTCTCGTAGAAAGACTGGGATCTTTGAAATATGTTGAACATAGAAAATTTTTCTAAATGAAAAGAGAATATTATGTGCTTAAATTTTCATAATATTTTCTTTATTTTTCTATAGTATCGACCTCCCTAATTTTCATCTTCGGGGTTTTTCATCGTTAATTAATATCACGTCATCGATGTTTATAAGACTTTACAGATTTGGACATTTCAGAAATTTCCAGGTCTCTTTTGTAGCAGATGTACTTCAAGCTGTAACAATTTATTACTGAATGATAATGTAGAAGTTAGTTTAAAGCATTCCCATATAAAAGTTGATAATTGAGTTGTGTGGATGATGCTGCTTGAGCCAAACATAAAAACTTAATTGGCACGGCTTAATCTAACTAGTCATTCAATCCAAACTTTTCGATCAATGAAAACCAGAAAATCAAATGCCTATAATATGGCTAATTCGTATTTGGTAAACCTCCATTGTTAATAAAAAACTATTAAAGTTAAATTTTGAACTGCTTGATGCTTTTCGAATTGAAATAACGTTCGTTAATTGGAACCGTGTTGAAGACATTGTTCCAATACTTGGCACTAAATTTTATTAATGTATTGTTGTTTAACACGTTACTGCTATTTTATGCATCCCACAAGAGCGGTCTCAATATGCGACGACGACGTGGCGAATAAAATTGACGGTACAAGTTTGTGTTTATGAAAGCATAAAATTTTACGCGTTACGATTCGTATTTTGTTCTGTTTCGAAATGGCCATTGTCACATGTTTCCCAGTTTGCTTGCGTCGGGTTGTTTCCAATTGCCTGTTCGGAATAATCAAGCTTTATGTAAGCATTGCTGGTCCAACCGCAAGAGCGCCGCATCGCGATGCGAAAGCTCCGAGCGCTACGAATGAGCTTATTAAGAACAGATGAACAGGGGAAGTACTGAAAACATTTGTATAGACATATTCTGGTATAGCCGGAACGTTTAAAATTGACATGGTCTGCAATAAAACTATCGCATTTACGTTCTTTTTACAACTTATTAACTAGATCACTAGACTAGAGCGGTTGCTGATATAACGCCTACTTTTACTTGCGATAGACGTAATAAGGAATATTGTAAACATAGAAAAGAGATGCCAGTTAGGAATTGCAGCGGACATTAATAAAGAAAAATTGACGTGTAACAGAAAGAGATGCGGACAAGCAGAATTTGAGCATGTTGCCGGCATCGGACTTTAAAGAAAGTTCAACATTCTCAGGAATTTAGGAAAGCAAAGGTACTTGTTTAAAGATATAATTCCAATCAGGCATTTATAAAGCCGACCCTAATATTTTGCGTACCCAAGTAGCCTCTAACCGCTGCATCGTTTACTGCTATTCGGTTATCTCTTTTCACTTTGTCTGCACTACTCTTGAAGCGTTTCTTTACTTAACAAGGGTGTGTTCAAAACGCAATAAATGACTACAGTCCCAAGTAGAAACGAGAAAGAAGATACAGGGTTTGTCCGGAAAGTAATAGGACTGATTTCCTTCCGCCGCGACTGTACTTCGGAGCGTGCGCGCACCGACTGGACTCGGTAGAGGGCATTCCTAGCTAACGAACGAGCGGTTGGTGAGTTGTCTCCAAGCACCTGGAGAGTCGGAACAGGCTTTTTCGCGCGACTTGTTTCTGTGAGTGGTGCAAGCCGAAAATGCAGCGTTCGTTTGAGCAGAGGTACGCAATTAAATTCTGTGTGAAACTCGATAAATCTGCGACAGAGACGTTTGATATGATCAAGCAGGCTTACCCAGATGTTGCTTTAGCAAGAAGTGGTGTGTTTCGGTGGCACCAGGCCTTTTCAGAGGGCCGGGAAGAGGTCGCCGATGAAGATCGTGCTGGAAGACCTTCGACTTTAACAAACACCGACAAAGTGACTCGTGTGCGCGAAGTTTTGAACTCAGATCGTCCACTAAGTATTCGTTTCATTGCCCAGATATTAAATTTATCAAAATCTGTGGTTCATGACATTGTGACGGAACATTTGAACATGCGCAAGGTGTGTACCTTTCTTGTGGACAGCTACCTGACCAAGGCCAGCATCCCAGCGCTTTCGCAGCCGCCCTACAGCCCAGATGTGCCCCTCCCCCGGACTTTTTTGTTTGCTCGCCTGAAAAGGCCGATGACAGGCAAGCATTTTGAGACGACAGAGGGGATTCAAGCAGCATGCACCGCGGCTCTTGAGGCTATTCCGGAGAATGCCCTCCGTGACGCCTTCAATGCTTGGAAATCGCACTGGCAGCGCTGCATCGACGCAGAAGGAGCCTATTTTGAAAGTTTTTAAAGAATTGTAACGATTGGCTCAATAATTTTTTTTTAATCGACTCAGTCCTATTACTTTCCCGACAAACCCTGTACGTCCATTCTCACAGATAATTTATTGTGGACTATGTCAATTTTGATTGTCTCAACTATAGTTACCAAGAATTCACAAAATAAAAACCTCTCTCCTGCTTTATTACATTACATATTTATGACATCGGGTCAATCTGAAAGCCATGCGTCAGTTATTATATCTCTTGTTTTTATTAGTTCCGTCTTTATCTGTTCTATAGGGTTTCCTTTCGATTTCTATTATTTTTGGGTCCCAACTGCCATTTGGGAATTTAAATTTTAATATTGAAAACTATTTTTTCATTCGCAAATAGAATGTGTAAGTAGGTAGTTATTATATAGAATAGAAATTACGTAGTAGGTAATTTTTTGTCGCCTTTGGCCAGGATCCTTCCTAATTAAATTTTTTATAGCTAACCAGCACAAATTATGAAAGAAGATGGTATCATTGTTTTTTATTAAGAATATTTTTAATAATGTTTACTTCTCATTTACATATTATTGTCATTAGCAAGGCAAACAACTCAGAAAGCTACGTTTAAGTTTAAGGGGGAAGTTTTATAAAACCGAGATGTATATCAAGATCTAGCAGTTCTAGAAATTTCAAAGGACATATTTAAATATATTCCATAGAATCAATTTGATATTAACTAAAAGAAAAGTGTCAGTAAAAAATTGATTTCTTTTAATCTATAAATAATAAAAGTGAGGTACCATCTAAGTAATTGTTTTTGAAATGTTTATTTGTTTTAGATGTTAAATCAGAGCCACAGTAAGGGATAAATGATTTATCTAGGATTTGGTTTCAAAATAAATTTAAATCCGCATTCGTTTTCGTTGTGGACCAAACTAACAGATAAATTTTAAATAAATTGCTACAGGTAAACTTTTCTAATTAAAAATTGCTAGAGATAAGACTAATTGCATCGAGATGATTCATACGTTCCTTCTTATTTCGTATTTCAATATTTTTGCAAGCATATTGTGATTTATTCCTCTGTGGGCAGATTAATTATTCATCCATGTATTTCAAAGTAGTTACAATTTAGATTTGATTGGAAAACTGTGATCGATCAAAGTTGGTTTCCGAACAACTGCATAAAATGTCCACGACAATTTAATTTTGCTACCTTGTTGGCGTCTGCTTGATTTAAATAATCGGTAATTTACGTAAAACTTTTGCGTTAACACTAAAATAGCCACCGGTTTGCTGTGAGGCCATTAATTTTATAGCACGTTAAAGTGTGCTTTATGGCTTTTGAATTTACGAGGTAACAGCATCGGATTAATGGACAAGCTCGCGCTTTTACACCAACGAAAATGCAAGTGTGATTAAAAAAAAATGGGTGCGTGTACTTATGTACGCGCGTGAGAAGTTATACTTCTTTGGCATCATTAAATAATATTTAGCATTAATTATATTAAATAATGATATTTTAATTTATATCAATAAATAATACATAGGGATAACTAACCTCAATTATATTGGAGCACTTAAAAAAGTATTTTAGCACAATTTTTTCACTAATATTCACAAATAGTAAATAATATTAATCCAAATATTCAATTTAAATCACTACTGAATATATTTTATTGCCACATATATAATTCGCACTTGTATGAAAATAAAACACGTGTTGTGACTGTAAAAACTAAAACCATGTGGATAAATATTATAAATAAATATGAAAACAGTGATCAGAGGCGACAAGCGTACCAACATGCGCGACTAAGAGAGGTTTTATTTCTATTTCGTTGGTAGCTTTTTTCCGAGACTTAATGAATTCGGTTGAGTGGGCAACTTCATCCTGTTAATTTTGTGTTACAGTGATGCGCGCGCATCTTGAAATTTCACTCTCATCAGTTTTTCATAACGCGCCTAAAGAAGTATAACTTCAATAACTTCAAAAAGAATCGTCTTTAGTATTCCGTAACTAAATAACAAAAGATTAAGTTTGTGTTTAAAACTGTCTGACGTGGACTATAATTTAGAACAATTTACTTCCCATCGGCGTACCCTAAGTACCTCTAATCAGAGATTTACTATTACGTAATTGTGAATTCGTTAATGTTTGACAAGGTCTTTTTCAATTTTATGGATATCACTTGCAATTTCCTTTTCGTACTTCTAACAACTTCAAAAAGAAAAACAATAAATTATGTTTTATGTTTTTTGACAAATAAAACAAAAAAATGATTATGAAATGCATCATGAATTATTAATTTATATCGTAGATAAAAATTAATAATTCATGATTATGAAATGCATCATGAATTATTAATTTTTATCTATGACAAATAAAACAAAAAAATGATTATGAAATGCATCATGAATTATTAATTTATATCGTAGATAAAAAAAGGGGTAGTTTGTGGGCCGGGAAGAGGTCGCCGATGAAGATCGTGCTGGAAGACCTTCGACTTTAACAAACACCGACAAAGTGACTCGTGTGCGCGAAGTTTTGAACTNTCAATTTTATGGATATCACTTGCAATTTCCTTTTCGTACTTCTAACAACTTCAAAAAGAAAAACAATAAATTATGTTTTATGTTTTTTGACAAATAAAACAAAAAAATGATTATGAAATGCATCATGAATTATTAATTTATATCGTAGATAAAAAAAGGGTAGTTTGTAAATGTTGGTCCTCAATACTTATTATATTCGTTTTTTATGGAGCCTAACATCTGGTAAAATCTCATAGGAACTAATAAAATCATGTAATAACTGGTGATAGAGATTTATAATAAGCAAGATTTCATATTCGCCGACAAAACTATTTGGTAGTAATAAATACATATACGAATATAAGCATAGGCATTGGGTAATTCAAGGTTTATTGATTTTCATGGTTAAAGATCAAATCTAGTTCTCTAGAACTAAATTAAACAAAACAGTATCGCCGAAAATTTCAGAAATATGTTTAGGCAAAAAAAAATTAGAGTCTCTATAACCTGCAAAGTTTGTACAATTTTGGCCAACAGATGTCGTTTGATTAAAGGCACTACAAAAAATCATAGGGTGAGTGAAGACGGCCAGCCGCTTCACCACCCTTCTTAGTGATATTGGATTCGATTCTTGACTATTATTAATTCCGCTATTTAAATGGTCGCCAATTGACCTATTAACCCGATGAGTAAGTAGGTGTTAGCTTGTAATCTTAAATAAACAATTTAGGTGTACTAATTTTGTACAAGTGATCTAATAAGAATTAATTGTATATATTTACACGTTCATCAGATTACGCATATTGGCTCGTGTGAAATCTTTCCATCTTCGGCAAACATTTTGCCTTATCTGTATAAGACTTTTGGTTTCAATCTTCTTATTACTAACCTGTGAATGGTGTACACATGTCGCCACAAGAAGCGTTACACAGCTGATAATTGTGACAAAGAGACAGGAGAGGAAGAGGGCGTGCTTTAATCGGATACAATAACGATGATAAAGCGTTTCTAATTCCATTCCGTCCGCTGAAACAAAAAAGAGTCGTTTAAAATTACTGAGGAACTTTTCACTTGGAAAAAGGGTCGGTATTTCAATTAAAGACAAACTGCCCATCAAAAGTTACATGGCTCGCAAACTTATTGAATTTCATTGAGAAAAACAGTTCAAGTTGCTACAATTCAATAAGAAAAGAATGCCACTTGTTTTAGAACATATTATAATCTCCACTCTTTCCTATTCTGAGCTAATATTCGCATCTCCCTAAAACTAGAACAACTCACATCCTTAACTATTTGCGAACAGTAATCTAATTTAGGTCTACCTCTACCCCTCCTAACTCCTGTTCCTGGCTCTAATACGAGGGTGGATTGATAAGTTTCCGGCCTAACCAAGAGATGACGCCACTAGGCCTACCTTGAGGTGACATTCTATAGTACCATCCTTGGATAGCTTGTAGCTATAGTTTCAGCCCGATCTCCTTGCTAGTGTAGGTTTGACAGCACGCTGAACAAGACGCCTCTGTGGTTTTCGTAAAAATGGAAAAGCAGGAAAATCGTGCTGTCATCAAATACTTTTATTTGAAGGGGTTAACGCCGAAGGAAATTAAAAAAGAGATGGACTCAACACTGGGGACATCCTCCCCGTCATATTCAACCGTTAAGCAGTGGGTTTCCGAGTTTAAAAAGGGTCGTGTGAGCACCTCTGATGGGCCTCGCTCAGGACGCCCCGTTGAGGTCACAACTCCAGATATGATCGAAAAAATTCATCAAATAGTGCTGGGAGACCGCAGATTGAAAGTGCGTGAGATAGCTGAGACCTGTAAGATGTCATATGAACGTGTGCAACATATTTTGCACCAACATTTGCATATGGAAAAGCTCTGTGCAAGATGGGTGCCGCGTTTGCTAACAGTCGACCAAAAATTGATTCGAAAAAACATTTCTACCGCAAATTTGTCATTGTATAAGCGTAATCCAAGCGAATTTTTGCGTCGATTCGTAACCGTTGACGAAACGTGGGTCCACCACTACACTCCTGAAACCAAAGAACAGTCTAAACAGTGGATTGGACCAGGGGAACCAACTCCAAAGAAGGCAAAAACAATTTTTTCGGCGAACAAGGTTATGGCTACTGTTTTTTGGGATGCAAGAGGTATTATATACATTGATTACCTTGCAAAGGGTAATACTATCACTGGTCAATACTACGCAGACTTATTGCAACGTTTGAGCCACGAGGTGAAAATTAAACGACCTCATCTGGCGAAGAAAAAAATCTTGTTTCATCACGATAACGCACCAGCGCACACGTCAATCGTTGCGACGGCTAAAATCAACGATCTAAAGTTTGAATTGATGCCGCACCCTCCTTACTCTCCAGACCTAGCCCCGAGTGACTATTTTCTGTTCCCTAATCTCAAAAAATGGCTTGGCGGTAAGAGATTTGCGGACAATGAAGAAGTAATCGAAGCTGTAAATGGTTATTTTGAGGAGCTTGACGAATCAGTCTATAGAGATGGCATTAATAGACTGGAACACCGCTATGAGAAATGTATCAGCCTTGGAGGAGATTATGTTGAGAAATAAAAAAAAAAAATTTTTAAAAACCTTGTTTTTCTTGGTCAGGCCGGAAACTTATCAATCCACCCTCGTATGTCTCTGACTAGATCTTCATGCCTGAGAGGGTGTCCTACCAATCTATCTCGCATATTTTTTATTGACTTCTGTAGAGTCCTTTATTCTCTTATTCTTTCTAATACCTCTTCATTTTTAACCTTCTCTATCCACAGTATTCTCATCATTCGCCTGTCATAGGTTACCTTAGACAAAAATTTTCAGTCTCTCTCCAGTCTTTCAGCGTCTCTGAGAGCGTTTCTCACAGTCTTACACAGTCTCTCAGTTATTGCCCAGGTGTTTTTATGGATCTCTCACAGTCCCTGTATGAGAGACTCGAACGATAAAATTGTTAATTCAGAGATTCGAATCTCTCACACAGAGACTGAATGAATAAAACAGAAAAATTGAGAGATTCGAGTCTTTCGTTCAGAGATTCGAGTCTCTCGTTCATAGACTGGATACGAAATGAGAATCTTTCTATGAGCGACTCGAGTCTCTCGATCAGAGAAGCTAAACAGTTTTTTTTGACAGTCTCTCTCAGCGACACCAGAGAGACTCGATGAGAGACGGAGACTCGAGTCTCGCTGGAGACTGAACATTTTTATCTCGGGTATACAACATTTCGAACGCTTCTAACCTTTTCTTTTCCGCCGCGCCCACTGTCCATGTTTCGCACCCGTACAGCGCCGCGTTCCAAACATACACCTTTAACAATCTTTTTCGAATTTCTAAATTAAGCGTTCGCGAGCATAGAAGTGACTTCTTTTTATTGAAAGCGACTCGACCCTGCGCTATCCTCTGCTTTATATCCTTACCAATCCTTCCGTCCTGACTTATCTGACTTCCTAGATACCTAAAATTAGCTACTTCTTTTAATTTTTCGTCTCCTATCATTATATTCGCTCTTCCTCTACTTTTTATTCCCTTGCATACCTGCATTTTTACTTTTATTTATTTTCATACATAGTTTTGTTAATACCGATTCCATTTTATTTAAATCCTCCTTGCTAGATGCAAATCTGACGTTTTATGTTACTAAAAATCATTTCCTAGTTTCTTTTATCTTAACCACTCAAGTAAAAAAGAAGGCACACATGGCTTAAGGAACGTTTTGATAAATAACCACGATTTATTATCCTTTCTTGATCTGAACTAGTGAGTAATAATTTTAGGTCTCTATAAAGCCACTTCCATTTATGATAACATTTGCGAACTTGGTGTCTATCTTCAATTCCTAAAGATAAATTGTCTTAATTCCTAAAAGACATTTGCAGGAAGAAGCGACAATTCATGTAATAATATAGAAAAGAAAAATATCGAATCTCGCACTCCCTAATTTTTGTCTAGATTAGAAAAAGATTGGTTGAATAATTGTTTCTACCTTTCATCAAAGTGTAGTTACACTATTAAAAAAAACATTAACTTTTAGGGCAAAGTAAACAACCCTAATTCGTTACATTACTCTTTTTCACTTTGTAAAGGTCAAACTAAATCAATTTGTTTGAACTAGAAGCTTTTCGATGCTAATGATATTGATGACAAAATGCTCTGTGCAACTATTGAATAGACAGATAGGTACCTACTATCGAACGAACGAAGTGTATTGCCTTTAATATGAGTAAAAGCATGTTGGTTTTAGTTTTAAAAGAAAAAACAGGCAAAGAGCGAGTAAATGAATGAAAGTAGAAAATTAAAGAGAAACATTCAGCTTTCAAACGAGAATTCGCTGGCAAAATTTTTAAACAAAAGTAACAACAGCATCGCCTTTATATTCAGCTATGCGATATATGGCGATCGGGTCAACATGCCACCTATTGATTTTGTCGAAGATGCTTAAATTCCTTAGAAATGCATACATTGAAATAAAGTATAGTCTCTTATATAATTATAAATGTTATGGTTTTTATTTCCAAATTAAAGAACATAGAAGTGTAAATCCATGTAGGAACTCACGGCAGGAGAAAGGTTGGTCCGAGTTTGGCCCAAGCTTGTTCAACTCTAGTCCGAGATCAGACCAAGCATGGCAAATGCCTGATTTGTCACTTCAGCCTAAGTCTGGTTGGCAAGCTTGATCCACGACTGGACAATTAATGCTTAACCAAGGCCTAGTGAACAATACTAAAACTAAAGATTGGGCAGCCAATATTAGGCCAAGACTTGGTGAATTATATTAACTCAAGATTGGGCAGCTAATATTATGACAAGACTTGATAAACAAAAGTAATCCAGTATCAGATATAATTTGGCGAAACCTTTATATACCTAGCCTTGACATTCAAACCTTGACCCAGTACTGACAAACCCATATTTAACTGGGGAAAACGTTAATAAACCTTGACATTTGAAGATTACCCGAAATTTGGACCAGTATATTGACGTGCCAATGCTGGCTTCCCATAACAGCTCCAGGTTTTGGGTGGGTTTAAAGTCAAGACTCGACATTTCCTATATGAGAAGTGAAGGTACAAATCTTGTATTGAAGGTGAAGTTTGATTCCCCAGAAGCAACTGTCCCCTCTTCAAATGATAGAATTTTTGGTTACATGCGAACAGAAGCTAAAACATCAGGAAAATGCTCGACTTTCACTCGATCCGCTGTATATCTATCCATACAGTTGTACTGTTCAGTTTCTTAGAGTCTCTGAAAGCGAGACTCGAGTCTCTCTGATGTCGCTGAGAGAGACTGTCAAAAAATCTGTTTAGCGTCTCTGAACGAGAGACTCGGGTCGCTCATAGAGAGATCCTCATTTCGTATCCAGTCTCTGATCGAGCGACTCGAATCTCTGAACGGGAGACTCGAATCTCTCAATAAGTGGTGTCTCGATAGACATGGTTAAAATTTACTAAGTTCAACATATTTCAGAGATCCCAGTCTTTCTACGAGAGACTCGAGTCTCTCAATTTTTCAGTTTTATTCATTCAGTCTCTTTGTGAGAGACTCGAATCTCTGAATTAACAATTTTATCGTTCGAATCTCTCATACAGAGTCTGTGAGAGATCCATAAAAACACCTAGGCAATAAGAGAGACTGTGAAAGACTGTGAGAGACGCTCTCAGAGACGCTGAAAGACTCTGAGAGACCGGAGAGAGACTGAAAATTTTTGTCTAAGGCTTCGATATATAGATTAAAACAAATACAAATAACGTTGAGAAATGCTGACGTATCTGGTCAAGTACCAGATAGCACAAACATAACAAAATTGGTTGTGATGTGCACCAGGAATTGACGAGATTGGATTCCACACGATGTCTGCAGGTGTTTAAGTTAACCGAACGAAGCGATACTGCAAGCAGTCTAGCGTGCAATACTGATTTAAAACGTAAATTGGTTAGCCAGCGAACCAACCAGAGAGGGACCGAACAAAGTTTTAGACAATTAAACGAGCTTCCAATTTGGGTCAGAAAGTTTTC